TATTATCATAAACATTTAGGTCTCATAATAGAGCTTCATATGAAAATAAAAAATAATATTTTCCAATTTTTTTCGCATTTTTGCAAATTTACTTATAAAAAGGTAGCTTTTAATCTCATTTTGGCCAGCCGACTGGCGGACTGGCTGGTTGCTACTGTGCGCCCGTTGAAAAACGCTTGTAAAAAGACGAGGAGTGCACGTACACTCGCGGTCGTATAATTAACAACTTTATGGACGGGGTTACATGATTTAAATTAGATTTAATGATTTAATGCCACCAATTACAGAACACAATATGAAATAATATAAAAAAAAGAACAAAATATAAGTTTATAAAATATATGATGTGAGGTAGGCGACATCTGGGCGCCATCCCCGAGCGTGTTATACTAACGTGGTGATTTTTCGGTTTTTTCCTATCTTCTTCTACAGTTTTGGTCCGATTGTTTTCAAACTGGTGTCGTTGAGTAGATCTTGTAAATATACACACGTACTTTTGCGGCCGAATTTGTTTTTTTTATTCAAGTGACAAAATAATCACTTTTTACAAAGCTCGCGCCTTCGAAGGGTAGTCGACTTCGGGCGACCACAAGTTACGGTTACCTTCCGCTGCGAATTTTGTCACGTAGTTTAAGGTTTCGTAAAGTTCGAATCGCTGTTTCTCTTTCTCGAGTCGCCAATAGAAGCTCCAGCTATGAGAAGTGCCCCAAAAATTTAATACTATTTTGTGGAGGGATTTTAGCGAAATTCACTAAACTGGCGCATTTTTGTGACTGTGGGAGGGTCAAAAGTGGGTACCGACAAAGAGAATGTGGTAGCCCCCGACAAGATTTTACTAATGGCGGAGGCAAAACTTCAAACGCGAATTGCGAGTGAACGGTACGTCGGAAGTGGGTACCAAGAAAGGGAATATGGTAGCCCCGGACGAATTCTTACACAAAAATGCGCTAAAGTCCCTTCGCTCTCACACGAAATTAATTAATTCACTTAGGTTTCATAATTGTTTGTAGATGTATGAACAATTTGGTAAATATTAGGTACGTAAAAACCAATCTATTTTCCAATTATTTTATTCTGGCCAATTTTCACAATATCTACAAAATGGAGTAAAAAAATAACATCATCCTGATCTTGCCTTTTTCGTCATTTGGAGAACTGAATCTTCATCACTCTCAAATTGATCCTGTTTTTCAAGCTCCTCATCGTCATCACTGAATTCCTCAGGTAATTGAAGTTCAGCATCCAATGAAAGACCACCAGGCTACCCCATTTTACAAGTGTCTTCAGATTCATTTTTACCTGCAGAATTTTAAATTTCCCACTACTAACAGTTTCACATTAACTGAGAGATGGCGCTGAAAAGGTTCCCAAACTTTGTACCTATGTACCTACCCGAAATGTATGCGGGCGTGTGCCTTACTTCCAATGGGACTAACACACTCCTGTCACTCCTCTTAACGGTTTTTAACGATCTCGAACTCTGGAAATGGGAGGGGGATCTAATTCTATTGTAAACAAAACGCTTTCAAGAATTCCAGTATAGTATATTTCAGCACCAAAAAATATTTCATTTGCTACCAAGGAACACAGTCTCTGTTTAAACAATGAAATGTAGTTTCTTTTGTATTTTTTCCCGTAGAATCGAATTTTGAAATCAGTTTTTGAAAAATTTCCAAAATTTAAACGAATTATCAACATTTACCAGAAAATTCAATGTTACTGAAGTCAGTTTTAGAGTTTTTTCGGTTTTTGAGCGTTTTCTTCAATAGAGACTATAATTTCATCAAAAACTATTGATAAAAACGAAGAAAATGACACCAAATAGAACTCTCTTCCATAAATCTTGTTTTAAAAAAAGTTTTTTGCCGAAAAAAACTAATATTTCGGAAACCTCTTCATTTTTATTTATTTATTTATTTATTTGTTTGTTTGTTTGTTTCTTTATTTATTTATTGATTGTACCTCTCTTGTTCTGAGTCCTCAACAGGCTTACGTCCAATTACAGAGTGACCCGCATAATGCTTTTAGAGGTGCCTCTGCAAAAGGTCTTAAGTTGTTCTATTCTACTCCGGTATTTACCTTACGAATTAGAAAAACTGCAGGAAAACCTAATAATATATAATATATTTAATAATATATTATAATATTGAAGTGGCGCAGTTCAGTTAAAGCTAGACTGTAGTGCTAAGGGTCCCTGGTTCGAATCCGGGTTCGGGCATGGATAATTGTAAATATATAGTGGGTTGGGTTGGTAGAGCAGGCTTGACTGAAACCCCGCCCACGCAAAAATAAAAGCAAAAATAAAATTAAAAAATAAAATAAAAAATTTGTAGTTACATGAATCATAAAATAGTATATTTCAACCAAGTTTCATTAAAAGAAAATCATTTTTGCGGAAATGAACAATAAAATACAAAAACACGGTTTTCCGGGATCTTTTCGGTTATTTTGAGATTATATGAAACAGTAACTGGAAAAAAAGTTCTACGATCTACAACTTTTCCATTGAACACTTTCTCAACTTTTACCGGAAATTGCCGTCACAAGATTTTCACCCTCCCCAAAAAGTTCGCGCCACTCCCCTGCTCACGTATTTATTTTCTTTCTCTTGAAAATTCTGGAAATCTTACCAACGCTCTCAAAAAACCAAACCTCGAAGGCTCTTGAAGGCTATTTGGTTCTGCTTAAGACCTTTAAACACTCTAAAGGCTCTTCAAAGCCCATATGTTAGACACTCCTAAAACGACCTTCTAGAAGACTCTAAAAACCCTTAAAAGCGTCTTAGAGTCGTTTAGATCTTTAGAAGCTGTTGGCGATTTTTGAAAGTTGTTTAAGAGTTCCTAAGAATAGGACATTAACTACTCTTATAATTACTAAGGAACCTTAAAGAGATTTTTTAGAATTGTTAAAACTTCTTAGGAACTGCTTCCTAAATGTTCACTAAGTCAGTAAAACTGTTTAACTGTTCCTAAAGCTCTGTAAAGCAGGCTCTAGAGACTCTTGTAAATTGTGAAAGGTTTTGAATGTCCTTAGTGATTTCAAAATATACTTTTAAAAACTCTAGGATACTAGAAAGTGTTAAAAACACAATTAGAGACCCCTAAAGCTAATAAACTGTCTCTGACGCAGATCGTAGCAGCACCTAAAAGTTATTAAAAAGCTCTAAAAAGCCAAAAATTGCTTTAATTTTTGATTGTGTCTATGCAAAAATTGAATTTTGTAATTGCTATTCCTTTAGTTAAACGTAATGCGGTGCAATTAATTGTCACTGCTATTTTGGGTTTTTCAGCCAGCACTAGAAATTGTTTGCGAAACGCAATGTAAAAGCAAACAAGTACCTTGTACAGACAAATAAAATTTTATGACAACACATTATGCGTAGCAACGTTATTAACGATTTCCCCAAAGAGATTGGGGAGTAAATAAACACTTTCGAATAATTGAAACCCAAAGCGGATGCTATAAACATATAAAGCTCGTTTTTAATAATCTGCAAATCGTGACAATGTATTCGAATTAGAAACCCTCAAGGAATACGAGATTGAAACATTCAATTCCCGGCGAAATTACCGCCTCGAGGCGTGGATATTTAAATATTTTTTTGGATTGGAATCGTTTCAAGAAGTTGTAAAAGTAGTTACAACACAATCAGACAGACGGACAGAGAAAACATGCAGAATAAGAGACAGTGTGAAGGGATGAATTTTTCTGCTAATGTATGCCGGGCTGCTATTCCACCCTCTAGTGCCAGTTTCAGAAAAATAATAGCTATTTATTATACAAGCCGATAAAGGTATCGACTGAATTAACTATCACGAGATGATTAGTTTCTTTATTTTATAGCGAAAGCATGATAAAACTTCCAAAACATCCAAAATAGCAAGCTTAGGCTCTTCCGTCGTTTCCATGTCCACAGTATTGTATTTTGTTATGACCTTAATTTTATTTCGTGCTCCGCGTCCCATTTTTAATAAGAATGGCAGATGTCGTTATAGTGACACTCACTCAAACCTATTAAAATGTCAATTGAACATGGCTATAAAATAAAGATATTTTATGCGCAAGAAAAACGAGAACCCCTGCAGTGAATACGTGCTGGATAAGAGGAAAAGAAAAAAAGAAGCGTAATTTGTAAACGGTTGAGTGATTTATCAGTTTCCGTCAATTAGAAAAATTAATGTATTTGAAATGTCGCAAAGTAGGCACAGGTTTGTATCCATAGCTCTGTAACGAAGCACGAGTATACCAGTTTTAGTGATCACTCTGTAGATGGACGCCCGGTATCAAGAAACGTTTTAAGTTGGGCGCTCCGGAAAATATTTACTTCTGTGTAGTTGGGTTAATTAGTAGGGCCGCCCGTTAAGGAAAATAAGAGGCCGTGTGTAATTTGCCGTTTGCAACCGTTCCCGTGGGAATATTTAAATTATTTTTACAACCGCCGAAAGCTCTCTTTCCGGGAAAGAACAGAGAGAATCAATCTTCTTAAGGTTTAGTTCCGTTAATTACCCATTAATCGATTGCAGTGCAGTTTAAGGATAATATCAACGTGATAGGGGGCCCCGCCATTTGATCTCACATTCCAAGGAACAAAAGGGCATTGCTGGACTCCCGAATTTGGAGATTTCATTGCGACTACTTAGATAAGTACAATTAACCGTAATTAGTTGAATGGGTTACAGGTAACAGCATCCGATAAAGTCAAGATTACATCCGTTAGATGCGCTCTTAAAAAACTTGAACCCGTATTTTTAAATTTTTGGATTAAAACTAAGGGAAACTCATGGCCACGAACGATACATACATAGGTATGCAGTTAACTAATAATAATATCAATTTATACTTATGCACTGAAACACTTATAAGGTACATAACTACGCACTTAAGGGTTCATCCTCTTTTA